TGAGGCTGAGAGAGTGTGACTTGCCCAAGGTGGGTTTCCATGGCTGAGTCGAGACTTGAACTCTGGTCTCTGTAGTCCAGTGCACAAACCATTACACCTCACTGGCTCTACTTTTGAATTATGTTTGGCTTAACTTTTGTAACCCACCTGGAGTCCACAACTGAAGAAAAAGGCAAGAAATAAGTTTAGTAACAACAACAATAACAATATTAATTTGGCATCAGTAAAGCAACCAAATTTGGCAGGATTAATATATGTGCGTGAGATAATATTTCTCATACCAAAGGCTGTTTGAGGCCTCTGAATATTTGCAGTGTTCACTCTATAAAAAAGGGAGCTAGCATGGTGTGGTTGGACTAGGACTCTGGAGACCAGGGTTCGAATCCCAGCTCAGCCGTGGAAATCCACTGGGTGACTTTGGGTAAATTACACTCTCTCAACCTCAGAGGATGTCAATGGCAAACCACCTCTGAAGAAACTTGCCAAGAAAACCCCATGATAGGTACCCCTTGGAGTTACCATAAGTCGGAAACTCTTTAACAAGAACCAGGATACTATCCTTCCCTTGCCCTTTGTATATCTCAGAGTATGGATGTCTTAGGCTTCTGGAAGATGAACAAAACATCTGGGGGTTCAAGGTTCCCAACTTTACTCTGCAACCATGGCTTGTCCGTTCACTTTTTTATTTGTTAGATTTTGGTAAATACGTTGGTATTTTGGGACCTTTCATTTGTTTACAGGTTTGGGGCCATGGTGGATATTGCAAGTTAAAAATTTGACCCCCCAAAACATAGCATGATTCAGTGCCTCTGGACTTATCTAGTTTTGTAGTGGAGCTCTGAGCATGGTTTCAAGTCAAGTCATGGGATGACCAGGTGCCTCTAAGGGCTGGAAACGGTTTTGGGGAGTGTGTGCCCATCTCCTGGATATCAAGATGTGTGATTGGCCAACCAGGGAGGAAACGTGGGGATAAAACTCCCAAAATCAGGCTAAAATTGGGTCAAGATCTATAAACGATTGAAACCTTGTGAAGTGAACTCTGCTCAGGATAGCAGGGCATTCCAGGTAAAACGGAAAAGCCCAGCCTGGCATTGAGAATGTCCGAGGTAGACTGCCCTTGTCCATGGAGGCTTTCTTTTGCAATCTTAATAGAGTTCCTTAGCATGAAATCAGCTTCATGTTCAACTGGGAAGCCTGAAAATGAGAAATGGCAGGCAATCTCGCTCATTCTCCTAGTTATTCCCCCCCCACCCCACAAGCTGGGTTCAGTACAAGTTGAGTCTCCCTTATCCAAAATATTCCAAACTCCAAAATTGTCCACCTGGGTGGCTGAGAAAGTGACACCTCTGCTTTCGGATGGTTCAGTGTATACAAACTGTGTTTCAGGCTCAACATTATTAAAAATACTGTATATAAAATTACCATCAGGCTATGCCTATAAGGTGTCTATGAAACATAATGTGAATTTAATGTTTAGATTTGGGTGCCATCTCCAAGATTAGGCATATGCAAATTTGATCCATTCTTTATATGCAAATATCCACTATGTTTATGCAAATATTCCAAACTCCAAAAACCCAAACACTTCTGATGCCAAGTATAAGGGAGATTCAACCCAAAATATACTGTCACTGGAGCTTGAGATTCAATATAAATGTCATAATTAATAATATCCATTGCCAGCTCTACTATTTGGTGCAGTGGTGTTTTCTGGGGGTTACAGCATGTTTGCAAGTATTCCAACTGCTCAGGGTTGAGTTTCCGCCTGCAACCTTTTAACAATTTGGTTTCTGTGAAGGATATTTTTAAAAACGGATTATTTGAGTGCCCTTCTCTCTTTCTGCCCCTTCCCTCCCTCTGCCTCGATACCTAACAGACAGTACCTAGTGAGGTGAGCGGCCAGGATGGATATGTGTTACTCTTGGTGCTTCTTTCCATCTTCATCGGAGGGACCCTTGTGCTTATCTTTGGTATCCTGATCATTTGTCGGCGCTGTTGTGAGACGGACCGCCGTCACTCCAGGTAATGGAGTATGTGGGGAGGGTACTACAAGTAGGCGAAAAAATAAATAAATGAAATGGACATATATGGATGGGTGACATTTGGCTTGATGCAAAAGCAATCTGGGAGTCTTCGTGGGCCACAAACTGAACATGCAAAGTACTTTTGAACTTTCAACTCAGTTTGCAGCAACTGAAGGACAAAGGGAAGTGGGAGAGAGATACCAGGACACTTTAAAGGCATCTGAAAAAGTGAGATGGGAGAGGATTAAGCTGCTCTCTCTCTGTCAAGTTGGAAGGCAGGCACTTTGAATTCAGTTTGCTGCAATTGAATTAAGCTGAGGGCAAAGGAGGGAGGAAGAGAGAGAAAATGGGACATTTTAAAGACATCTGAAAAAGTGGGATGACAGAGGATTTATCTGGGCCAAATTTATGACAGTTGGTCAGTATGCACACCTCCATTTTTTCTGTCAAATTTTGAAGGGTGTGCTGAGGTTTGTCCACGTAGACCTAGCTTTGGCTGAATTTTGGAGCCATTTGGAGGTGAGATTTTGGGAGCTTGTTGGTTCTCCTTTTGTCCTCCAACCAACCCTTTGCATTTATATTATTTATTCCTTTTTCTGTCCTGTTTTCAGAGGTAATGATGACCCAGAGAAAACAAACACCACCTACCTGGACGACTCACAGCCGGCTCAAGGTGAGGAGCACTCCATGCTTCGCTTGGGAACTCTTTGTCTCATGAAAGGCTTGATGGTATAGAGTTGTTAATTGCTAGGATGTGTTGCTGTGGAAACTTCACCTTCTCTGCCTGGCATAGGATTGTGCTTCGCCTACCCACCATCTCCCCCAGGAATCCTGCTTGGTTGGCTTCTCATCCTTAAGAAGCCACGGTCTGGGTTCAAGTGGTGGAAGCTGCATCTGAAAGGAAAGAGTGGGGAACCGGCCATGACAGTGATGCCACACCAGGGCAAAAATTGGCTTCCTATTTGAATGGCAAAACCTCCAGGGCAGGACCAGGGAAGGGGGAAATGGGATCAGCAACAGATGGCTTCATTGCTGTGTTTGAAATGCCGCCCGGTCAGGGTTGCCCTCATTTACAGCACTCCATTCCATTGGTTTCTTGCCCATGTTTCCAAAAAGTTGCCTACTTTGAACTGATCTCATTTGGAAATGGGAGAAAACATAACAAAATTGGGGAGGAGAAAAATAGGATCAGCAACTAATTGTCCCACTGTCCTGTTCAGAATGTCGTCCAGTCAGCTTTGCCCTCATTTAAAGCACTCCATTCCATAAGTTTCTTTCCCATGGTACAAAAACAACAACAGCAGCAAAACACCTTGCAATATTCTTTGAATGATTAAATTTGTTGGAGGTGAAACCACAGCAAAACTAGGGAAGAAAGACAAATGGAATCAACATGAAACTGCATCACTCTACTTATCATATAGAGCCATAAAGGTGTTCAGGTGATCTTTTTAAGCTGGCTTTGAACCAGAGGGCTGGCAAACAAAGCAGCTGCCCTACCACTCAGTTATGACCTTTCTTCTAACTATCAAGATCCCAGTCCTCATTGTTCTAAATGAAGAAATCTGATTTAAATAGAAGGCTGCAGGTCAAGCTGTTTGCCCCCCCCCCCTCCTCCTCCAAGCTCAGAATTGTCTGGTCTGACTGGCAAAATCTCTCCAGGGTCTCAGAGAAGGGTCTCCTTAAATTCAAGATGCTGGAGATTCAAATCTGGGACTTCCTATAAGCCAGTCTGCTGAGCTCCTGTCCCCTCCAGGGGAAAATAAGTCAATAATATAGGGTTTGGGAAGAGAACAGTTTTTAGCTACTTGGATGAGATGCTCAAATTGGTATCCCTAGAGGTCATCCATCCTAACCCCCCAGCGGCCATGTTTCCCATCCCCCTTTGTTTTCCTAGAGATCACCATCAAGGTGGATGATCCCGATGGCATGTCCAGCTCCAGTTACCGAGATGCGGAGAGTGAGCGGTTTCTGTCTTCCGGCAGTTCCACGGGGAGGAGGGTCTCTTTCAATGAGGCTGCGCTCTTTGAGCAGAGCAAGAAGACGCAGGAGAAGGGCAGGAGGTATGTCCTGGGTTCGAGAGAAGGTGTCTGTTGACCTAGTGCCAGGGTGCAAATCATGTGGACCTCCAGATGTAGTTGGACTGTAACTCCCATCATTTTGCACCCCTGGCTATGCTGACCAAGACTGCTGGAAGCTGCAGTCTGATAATATCTGGAGGACCACACCATTCCCCTACCCTGGCCTAGATTAGGACTGGGTTGCCTAATGGTTTTGGAGTAGGACTTGGAAAACCCTGCAGTCAAATGGGTGAGCAAACCCAAGGCCCTCTCAATGTGGCTGGACTGTAGTCCTCATCACCCCTAAGCACTGACAATGGCTGGGATTTGTAGTTCATCTAGAGGTCCACACCTTGAGGTGTGTGTTCCTTATTTATTTCTACTTACTTTTAAATAAGTTATAAGAGGAAAGAGCAGTGGTGTGACATAGTGGGTTTAGAGTGCTGGACTTGGAGGATCTGGCTTAGGCAGTTGGGAACTGGACTCCAGCAACATCTGGAAGGGCACAGGTCTCCACCTGTGTGTGAGAATGGCCTCCTTCCTAACCCTGCCTCTCCAGATGTTTTTGGCCTACAGCCCCAATCATCCCTGGTTAGCATGGCCAGTGGTCAGGGATATGGGGACTCTCAGTACAGAAAATATGGATTCTTGTAATTCAGATTCAAATGAACAAACTGCAAATCTCAGGATTCCATAATGTTGAGCCATGGCAGTTAAAGTAGTGTCCAGCTGCATTATTTCTGCAGTGCAGATTAGACCCTCAAGCAGAAGGTACATGGACTACAGGTCCCATAGTCCTCCAGGCATGTAGGTGAGGGTGACAGTCATCATATTCCCTCCAATATGAACAGCATGCCCCCCCACTAGGAAAGACTCTTCCAGGGTCTTATTGGGGTATTTTATTTGCCAAGGAAGAGCTACCTTGGCATAGTGGTTTGAGTGCCAGACTAGACCTCTGAGAGACCAGGGTTCGAATCCCTGATCAACCACAGAAACTCACTGGGATGGCCTTTGGTGAGTCCTACTCTCTCAGCCTCAGGGGAAGGCAACGGCAAACCTCCTCTGAACAAAGACAACTCCATTATAGGTTTGTCTTAGGGTCCCCAAAAGTCGAAAAGACTTGAAGGCACACAGCAACATTTGCAATCGCTTCATATCATCCCTTGCTCTCTTCCTTGGGTCAGGTACACTCTGACGGAAGGAGATTTCCACCACCTGAAAAATGCCCGCCTGAGCCACCTTCCACTTCCCCCCTCTGCCACCCTGAAAATCGTGACCATCCACGAGTGCGAATCCAACGAGAACAGCATTGCCATGACACCCCGACGTCCTCCCGCCAAACCCAGCCTCGCCATCTTCCAGGTGAGTCCTACCTGCCGTCCCAACAGGTCTTGGGGTCAAACTCCCATCATTCTGGGTGGTCTATAATTCCCCAGTGGTGGTCTTTTCCCTAAATATCAAGCTCCTGCTCCATTTTAAATGACAAAGTGCCTTATTCTGGTTCAGATCCTTGTTAGGGGTGATGCTGGGGATTAAGGATGGGGTCTGGAGACAAGAATTTGAATCCCAACTCTGCCATTAAAGCCACTGGGTGACCTTGGGTGAGTCACATTTTCTCAGCCTCTGGGGGAAGGCAGTGTCAAACCTCCTCTGAACGAATCTTGCCAAGTAATGATAAAATATATTTTCATTTTAGAGGGTCGGAAATTATGAGACCCAATTAATGTGAGCCCTGTGCTTTATTCTAAAAATATTCCGTCTTCTGTGTTTTATGCCATTTGCTTTTGGGATGAAGAGTGCTGTCAGAACCCAACAGCTAGCACATTTTAAAATCGTAATTATTGGCAGTGACTATGGCCAGCATATGCTTACACAATCTTTTGAATTTTCTTCACATTCTTAGGTGGAATCTGGGAAGTATCAAGACACATTAATAGAATCATAGACACATAGATTCTATTAATGTGTGTTGATACTTCTCAGATTAATATTAGTTATCTCTTCCTTGTTGTGTGCCTTCAAGTCGTTTCTGACTTATGGCAACTCTAAGGTGAATCTATCATGGGTTTTTCGGGGGCTGAGTGTGTGTGACTTGCCCAAGGGTACCCAGTGAGTATCTATGGCTGAGCATGGATTCGAACCCTGATCTCCAGAGTCCTAGTCCAACTACTATGCCACACTGGCTTAGGAGAGGCATTTCAACTTTATAAACCTGTATAATGTTGAGGGACTACTAAATAGTGATAATCATGGGCCATTTGGGAGAAGCCTGGGAGGGCCAAATGGGGATCCCAGAAGGGCTGGATTTGGCCTCTAGGTTCCAAGATCCCCCACCCTTGATTTGCCATTGCCTTCCCCTGGGGCTGAGAGAGTATGACTTGCCCAAGGTCACCTAGTGGGTTTGATGACTGAGCGAAGAATCGAGCTCATGTCCAGAGTCATAATCCAAAACTCAAACCACTACGCCATGCAGTTTCTCTGCAACTTATTTCACTCTCGAGGAGGTCTATATATTTACTTTGTTGGCCTCCTACTTCCCTCCCAGTCATTATGGTGCCAGGACTCACCCTCTGCTCTGCACCCAGTCTCTAGAAATAAGCGAGAAGGAATTATCTCAAATGAGAAGGAATAATCCCCTCATTTCACAGCCCCTTTAGCTAAGATTTCTGTCACATTTTCCAAAGAGGACAATATGTTCTCTTTATTTGTGTCTATGTTTGAAGTACAAGCTGTGAGCAGTTGTGGCTGGTACTTAATGGCATCCCCAGGGCAGTGCCAAGCTCATAGGTTTTATCTCTTAAATTTCAATTTACTCCCTCTTTTCTTCTTCGTCCCTCATGTTGTCTCCTTTCCACAGCCCACGGGGACCACCTTGCCTCAGACGGCGCTAACCAGCCACGGGATGTGTCCCAGCTCGGCATTGCCCGGGGACACCTTTAATTCTACGGTGGAAGCCAGTTCTTCTGTTTCTTCGGACTCTGGCGAGGGGAGCTCGGTAGGTTGAACCAAAAAGGCAGTCAGACAGCTACTCAGTGTACATCAGTCACAAAAGGACCACATACAACATCTCCAAAATCCTTTTTTCCTTTCATGCCATTGCATGTCTTGTGGTTCTTTTCCTTTCTTGTCCCTGAGGAGTCTTGGTCCAAGGAGCCTCAGAAATGGTTGCCAAGCCTCTGAAGCACTTCTACGGCTGTGTGGTAGCACTTTCGTAGAACCATAAAATTGGAAGAGACACCCCAAAGGTCATCCAGTCCAACCCCCTTCCATGCATGAAGATATAATCAAAGCTCACTCAGCCTCTTGGTTAAAAACCTCCAAAGGCGGCTCCGACACACTCCAAGGCAGCATCTTCCACTGTCCAACAGCTCTTACCATCATAAAGTTCTTCCTAATGTTGAGATGGAATCTCTTTTCCTGTACTTTGAATCCACTGCTCTGTGTTGTAGTCTCTGGAGCAGCAGAAAACAAACTTGCTCCATCTCAATCCCTTCAAATATTTACACATAGCTATCATGTCATCTCTTACCTTCTCTTCCACAGGCTAAATACTGCATACTGGGGGCAGCGATGAATCAGGCTTCTTTGCTCTCCCACTTTCTCCGATTTCGCTGTTCACACTTACTTAGTAAGGGATTCTGGGGGCAGCTGCTGTATACCTTGCCTGTGGTAAGCAGGCACAGATGGCTCCTGTAGGATCGGCAAAAGTAGGATCCCACTGTTATCCAGCTCAAGCTTTCTGGTGTTGTTTCTTGCAGACACACGCTGCTGCAACCTAATATCCAAAGTCGGTTTTTCCAGCCTTCCTTCACTGCTGGTGCTGCTAAAAAAAAAACCTCCCAGCTAGACAGAGGGTGAGGAGAAAATGAGCTGGGCAGGCATAGAAGGGCTTTGTAAAAAAGGGAACTTCACTTTCGGAGGCTTAATGAACAGAGCTATGCCAGGGGTACGTTTGCGCATTCTGGACGAAGCATCAAAACCTTTATGTGATATGTGTGTGTCTGTTGTGCCTCCATCAGCCTTACAAAAACACACAATTGATGTCCCCAGGGGCCATTAAGAGTTGCGTATCATGGTGGCAGTGGCAGGGGGACCTTTTACACATGGCTGCCCCCAGTGTCACCATTCGCCCTTCACACTGCGCATAATCACCTTTCCTCTTTCTCGCTCTCTCAGTCTGATGGTGTGGCCCGGAGTCCGAAGGGAGCAGGAGCCGGGAATGCAAGTGCCGGGGAAGCCACACCGCCACCGGCTCAGGGTGCCGTCCTCCATTTCTTCACCCGCTTGCGACGCCACGCCAGTCTGGAAGGGGCGAGCCCCTACTTCAAGATCAAGAAGTGGAAACTGGAAACCAGCCAGCGGGCCTCCAGCCTGGATACAAGAGGTGGGTGGCAAAAACACCAGGCTGCCGCTTGGTCCATCTGAGCCTTGTAATGACTGCTCTGACTGGCAGCAGAGGAAAGAAAAGGGTCTTTTCTCATCCCCTGCGATCTGGAGTCCTTCCACACTACCTAGATATATGACGATGCCACTTGATCTGCCACAGTTCCTGCCTGTACAATCCTGAGTTTGGTGATTTAAGAAGGGGACTTTGGGATTCTCAACCAGAGAGAGCGCTAGTGCATCTTCAAACTACAAATCCCACAATAGCACAGGATGCAATTAAAGGTGGAATTACAAGTATTTGTGTGGTGTGAAAGGGCTCTGGATTCTTTTGTTAAAATGTGAATGACAATGCCAGGAATGAACCCTGGACCTTCAGCATACAATCAGTGTGTGTTCCATCACTGTCCTTTTCCCTAAATGTCAAGTTTCCAGTCTTCATAGTGTTAAATGAGAAGTGGCAAAAAAGAGCAGGGTCCTAGGGGGTCCACATGCAAATGCCCAGTTTTCTCTGCAAAGAAAAAGGATGAATTTCCTTGCTTCAGCATTACAAATTTCTGGTGAACATCAAGTTTCTAGTCCTCATGGTTCTAAATTTAGTTTAAATAGGAGGCTGCCTTATACCAAATCAGACTATTTGTCCATCTCAGTCCAGTATTCTTTGCTTTGGCTGGTAGAGGGTCTCTCCAGGATCTCAGGCAGAGAAGGGAATGCTTTCATCACCTGCTGCCTGATGTTTTTGAACTGGAAATGCAAGGATTAAACCTAGGACTTTCTGTATGCAATATAGATGCCTTCCCTTTTGAGTAGTACCTTTTTTCAAAGTCATTTACAGCCTCTCTATTCACCATCCAGCCATAGTTTTGGAGTGCGGAGACTTCTCCATGGTGGCACCATTTATGTGCAATACAATTTCCTCCAACACCAGCAGCCCTGGGCCCGCAATTCATACTTTGAGGTGGAGGTGGAAGATCAAAACTGAGGGGAATTCACTTTTTGTAGATGTACACTCTTTCAGGAGGCTGTCCAGTAGGGGGATTCTGGGAGTTGTAGTGCACAAAAGGGGCGTTTCTGAACACAGCTGAAGGCTTGTCCACTTCCACACATCTTCCCAAGTGTAACTGGTAGTTCCAGCCTTCCTTAACTCAACTCTTCTTTCCTCTCGATGTCCAGGGTCCCCAAAACGGCACCAGTTCCAACGGCAGAGAGCTGCCAGTGAGAGCATGGACCAAGAAGACCGGGACGCACACCAGACAGACATCATCCAGTACATCGCCCGGACAGGAGACGTGGTGTTTCATCCCACAGCGGGACCTCTCCTCCCAGCTCCCGCCAGCCCCACATTATCTCTCGGCAGGTATTTTTCTGTAGATAAGTGGGAACAGGGAATGGTAGAACATGAGCATGTACAGAGTATTTTCCCACTTTCTCTCTAGCTCCCCAAGCAACCTCAACCCCCCCCCCCAG